TTCAAAAAAAGTTTAGTCGATTTCCAACCTCTAACCATATTAATATGGAATTCGATGTTTGGGGATTGCGTTACATACGAAATTTGAATCTTATGTATGTACTGGTAGTTAGAATTTCATACATGCAATCAAAGCTAATATTTATATAGAAATAATGAAATTTGTCATTCATTTCTTTTTGATAAAGATTCTTACTATCACGGAGTTAAAAGCCCGAAAAAAAAATCTCTATTAGGCAGAATCATTTCATTTTTGCTTTTCGGGCAGAGTAATCAATCAGAAACGCAACAATCAACCTTGAAAGCAATTTATTTTCATTAACTGTCAACTTGAGATTTTGTTCTATAATATTATGCCAAAGTTTAAACCAGCACCAAAAGACAAAGAAATAATAAACAAAGCCAATATTCGTGGCAAAATTAAGGATGTTATTTATTTTTCCCACTATAAAAAATACGCGATAGTTATTAATAAAGTTGCTCGCCTATATGCAATTAGATTAATTAACTATGAAGATGATGGTGGAGACGGAGTGGAAATATTAGCAGTTAAAAGATTTCCTGACTTGATAGGGTTTTATCTAACAAAGGAAGAAGTTGAGAATAAAGTCACAAGTATTAAAGATAATAATGATGGAGAAATAGATGAATGCAAATATAAATTTGAAACCCACGAGGAAGATATAGAAAATAATGTATTAATAATTGGAAGAACAGGAAGCGGCAAATCTGCTTTGGCTAATGTAATCAGCAAATCTGATGAATTTGGAGAAAGTGGAAGTTCAGTTAGCCAAACTAAAGACTTCCAAATCAAAGATTTTGAATGGAAAAAAAGTGAATATCGAGTGATTGATACTATCGGACTTGGTGATACTAATTTATCACCCAAGAAAGTCATAATCAAATTGGCTGAGGCTATTTACTCAATGAAAAGAGGGATAAAACAAGTATTTGTGGTAGTGGGAGGAAAATTTACCGAAGAAGAAATAGAACTTTTTGAACTGGCCGAGAAGATTTTTGAAAAAAAAATTATTAAATACACGACTATTGTGAGAAGCAAATTTGACTGTTTCGAGGAACCTGAAAAATGTAAAGAAGATATAGACGATTTAAAAAAAGAGAATAAAAAAATCGCTGATTTGATTAGTCGCTGCAATGGAATCATATATGTGAACAATCCTCCGTTAAGCGGCAATAAAAAAGACGAGAAATTGACCAAGCAGACAGAAAAAAATCAAGAGAAGTATTATTGAATCATTTGAACACTCATTGTCAAAAAAGTTACAAAATGGATCATTGGGATGAGATTTGCGTAGGAATTAATGATTACATGAATGCAAAAAAATATAAAGAAGAAAAAGAATCTTCACAAAACTTATTGGCCGATGTATTAATTAAAAAAGAAATAAAGGAATTAAAACAAGACATCCTTGAAGAAATAAAATCTCAGTCAAATAATGTGGAAGGTGGGGAGGTGCATTGCGTAGCTAGTGTGCAATCATACATGTTTAACGCAGATGCAATGCTCAAAATCAAAAAATTTTGCACGATTAGTTAATATTTACCTTTTATTATCTTTTGATTATATTCTGGGTTTTGGTTTATAATAAAGATTGATTATTCCAAAGCTTTGGCTTAAAAGTAAACTTGCATTTTAAATCAATTAATAATTCTCTCGTCTCCGCAGTGGCGTCCATTCATTTATTAATTTATAATAACGTCCAATATTTCATACCTTTCATTTATAAACCAGGGTATTTTCATTCATTATCATTACACAATAATCGATTTTGTGTAAGCATGCAGGAAAAATTGAAAGATAATAATAATAATAATAATGTTGATAGATAACAATATTCTTTAAAAATGCATGTTGATCTAATTTGGTGAACAAAAAAAAAAAAAATAATGAATCTTCGTTATTGTTTTACATAAATTTATAAACGATAATGAATTTTTAATTATTGAAAGCAAATTAGTATATTGTCAATCAACAAGTTTCCAAATGGAATTAGTTTTGTGTAATTTTTTAAATTTATATGATTTTTCAAATTGTAGTACATCTTTAGATAATGTGTTGGAAGTTTCTAGCAAGTTGTAGATAAATTAAAGCCAAGTTTTGAATTTTTTAGTAGAAAATTCCAGGCCATAGCGTTACACCGAAGATCGACATGAAGGTCATGTAACTATAGTATAAATTTCAGAAATTCAAAAAAAATTTTGATTGAATAATAATGTTATATATACGTCTTTTGGCATGTTATCATGTTGTAAATTTCTTAATATATATATATATAATAATAATAACAACAATCATACGTAGCACGAAGTATAAAAATGGATTGATTTTCAAATCTAAGATTCAAAAACCAAAATTATTCATCACAATCATATACATCCCCAATATTCACTTCATTTCATCCTCAATCAACCAAATAAAATCATCTTTAGCCAAGTATAAATTCGTTAAATGGTCTCCACTTATAATTTAGTTTACATTCGTAAAGAAATCTAGCAATTTCTTCATTTCCACATTTATTATTTTTTTTCTTCACAACCTTTGCATAATACTATTTGGTGT